GCTCCCCGCCAAAACTAGCAGTCTAAACTTATAATGACGCTGCCAGTTTTGAATTTTTTGTTGTTGATGAGGCAGGCTCATTTTCTGTGGCTCGGGCTTGGCGTGAGAGTAGGTTTCGGGTCGGTCCGGAGACGGAGTTGACAACTGAAGTCATGACATCTTTAACGATCTGCTTCGGGTATGATATATATATATATATATATATATATACATATATATGTATACACATTTTACTGCATACCGGCTACGGCGGGCCTATGAAGGAAGGGTGTGCTTGATTCGCTTGAGGCTGCGATGATAGTCGTGTTGTTGCCTGTGTAGTGGAAGATCATTGCGGGACAGGCAACAATGCAGGTTTCCTTGCTGCTTGCTGCTGCGGCCGCCAAAGAATTCGCTCCTAGCAAGACAGTGGGACCACCTTTGGAAAGAGGCGACGATGTTGTAGCAGGAGCACGCTCGACCGACGACTCATCGTTTGTGCGGAAGGGCTCACGTCGGTGGCACCCAGCGATTTAATGGTTTGGGAAGAACCTCGCCAATGTAAACAAAGCGATGAGGTGCGGGCCGCAACAGGAAGCAAGGGTCAACACGAACTCCCGTGAGCCGCATTGACAGGGGAGGACGTGTCGGAAAGCTCTCTCTCTCTCTCTCTCTCTCTCTCTCTCGAAACTGCTCAGTGTGATATGATAGGACTTGGGCTCCTGCCCGGAGGGCATTGCTTTCTCGGAGAGGAATCCTTTTGGTGTTGTATGTCGTTTCGTTTGTCAGATTTCATGGTTCACAAAGACGTTTCGTGTAAAAGTGCATGCACGTGTTTGGCATTGCTTGCTGCGTTTTTTGCCTGCAGCGAGGCGCGGGGACAACAAGCCACCTCCAGGACCGTAGACCGTCCGTATAGGCTTCAACAGTCTGGGGGTGTGAGGCTTTCGCAGTTGGCAGGTCTCGGACTTTGAGCTTCAACGTTCCGGGTACGGTTACGGGTTATTAAGTAAGGTTTCAGCTTTCAAGCTTTCAGTGCCCAGCAACAGGTTCAGGGCTTCTTCTTAGTATTTGCAAGCCAAGGCTGCTGGAACTAATGCAACCTGGACTTTTGACTTGATAGTCATCGGTGTTGGTGCGATGACACCAGGCTGAAAGAAAAGTCCACAGCATTTTGTAAAAGACTGCACAGAGGCATTAATTACTGCACCGTGAACTGAGTTTAGCAGAACAGTCCAGAGCAGTCTTCAGGCTTCAGCGGGTGATCGCTCTTAGAATTGCGGTTGCATGCTGCGGAAAGGCGGAAAGTAAGGAGCTTTGGAATCAGTGGGTTCGAGGTGGTCACTACATTTGCCGGTACTGTAGGATGGCGGATGTAGCGTTGCATCGGCCGATGCAAACTTCCTCGTCATAAGAGGCGAGGGACTCCGGACCCTATACCCTTGGCAGATGTTTTGTCTTGTTTTCGAAGTGTTTAAAGCCGATAGGCTAAAGGCTGTGGGTCTCTTATCTACGGTGTCGGTAAGTCGAACTCCGAAAGCCGAACCCCGAAACTAGACTTAAGGCTTGTAGGACCCACCGACTGCAGGACGATTCCAGCAGGTCTCCTCCCGTGGGCCCTTCTCTTGTGCTCTCGACATGGCAGGCATCACCAGTATCAGTCGAGGAGTTTTTGCGAGGTTTGCAAGATTTCTTCTCCCTCCTGCCCTCCTGTGGCTCTCCCCGGGTTGTTGGGTAGTCCGGGCTGCAGGAGTGCTGCCAAGGGTAGGCCAAGGCTAGGTTCATGTGCAAGAGCACTTGATCAAGGCCTTGCCTTTTTGGCAGGACATCTAGATTGGTAAATCGTAACCCTCAGACCGCAGATTCACGGATGCTCATAACCTTCCGGTTTCGACCCTGCGTTGCATCACAGAAGCGTTACTTGGAGCCATGTTCGTGTGTTTGGTCAGGAGTACTTGCAATGCAGAAGCCGCGTATGGGTAGCATGTTTCCATCTTCAGCTACTCTGCAGAGGTCGCGCCGTTTGCTGGCCTCAAGCTGAACAGAGGACCGAAGCTTTGGAGTGGAGGGAATTCCGGGCTTTGTCGGTTTACTGACATGGGGCCATTTGGCCATGTTAGGTCCTAGGGCCATAATGCTACGACCGCAGCACAAGCTTCGACTTTGGACAGGGACGACCACTTCGTTCACATCTCGGTGGGTGGCTCGCATTTCTGCGGAGCTCCTCTGCGGAGTTAGCGGATTCCAGGGCCTGCCATCCTTACGAGGTCTCCACTCTGCGAACATGCCAACACATTGTATTCTCGACAGACAGCGACGAAGAAAGCCAGTGCGGCTTCGAGGCGCAAAACAAAGAGACCCAGAGATCCTGAAGGCCCTGAAACTCAGACTTCGAGCAATCAGCCGAGATGATGAGACCTGAATGTCCACGTCGCCGTTCTGCTCGTGCCGAGGTGCAAGAATCTGGTCACGCCAAGTGCCGCGGCAAAGATGACCAAGGTGGGCAGCCCGGGCAGGTAGCAGCTTCAGGCCTTGGCATTTGGGGCTCTGGGCGATTGGCCGGTCAATCAGCGTCTATGCGTTTGTCGGTTTCGGTGGCACTTGGAGGTTTGAGAAGGCCCCGGCCTGAGTGGCGATAGCACAAGGTCCCAGGAAAAGCGTAGATTCGGTAGAACGGGTGCCTGGCACTGCTGGACACTCTGAAGAGTTGCGGTGGCTTAAGGCGAAGGATTCCAGGGACCTTTGCACTGCCCTTCTGGTGTCGACCTTACACTGTAGTATGTTAGAAATTATGAACCCTTACATCCTGATCATCTTCCCTCTCTATCTCCGTGCCGCCATTAGCGCCATCACGAGCTTCAGTTGTCGTGCTTGAAGGTCAGTCGTCGCCTCCATCTGGCTTCTTTAAGCTGCCGACAAAGCTGCTTGACGTCATAGCTCCTTACTTACCTTTGGTTAGTAGGGAGTGGAGGAATGGGGTACAATTATAACTACTATTACTACCATTCTTCCATTCCCTACTAACCAAAGGTAAGCTTTGGCCTTAGGCAGTCGGCTTATGCACACATGACCTCACAGAGTAAACCTTGCATTGGAAAGTATGACTCTCCTCGTTCATGTTGGATGGCGGTCTTTGGTCATGCCAAGGAAGACGCACCCCAAGAGCACCGAGCTGTGACCCAGAATCGCAGTCGTGCATGATGGGCAAAAACGTCCGAGCTCGTCCCGGCCTGACTCGCAGAAGACAAATGGCGGTTCATCCACCGGGGCCCGTACCGCATAGTACCATAACTTTCAACTCAAGACTTATTTGGGACCACAGTTTAAGACAGCAAATGACGCTGTTTGTTTCGCTGACAAAGCCCCGCAGAAGCAGTGCGGTGGAAGCAACCCTCCACACGTCCTGTCCCGTATTGCATATGTTGGGCGGTTGTGTTACATCAGGCAGAGTGCAAGATGTTTTGTTTTGGTTTCGACATGATTCTTATATGACCGTTAGAATGTGGATTTGGTCAGGGGGAGGGGTGTTTGATGTGGGGGGTGTGAGTTCGATCCGGACATATTTGTTATACGAATATCACGAAAACAGTACTGTTTCACTGCGATGCCGATGCGACTTCGATATGGGCTCGGAAGACCTCCAAAACTCAATTCCTATCAAAATGTAGACAACTCATATTCGTGAATGATATCAAAATCGGATTAAAGCGAATCAAAGTCACATAGCACAACATGCCGAGAATCTTGGCCGTAGTAGCCGGTGGCAAACATATGTTTCGGGACTACACCGCGCTCGTCTCCCGGTATAGTTTACGGGTTTTGGGCGGATTTCAATCGCAGACCACCCCTCAGCACTGTTTGCAGCCCTCGCAGCCCCAATGATGTCCTAACCCGCATACACCTAAAGACTAAAGTGCATATCGGTGCACGGGAAAGCATCACAGACGCCAGGAAGCGGCGCTCCATTTCCAATCTGGAAACCTGGCCCGATCCCCAGGTTCCACCCTCCTCGAAAGAAAGCCGAAGTAAGGGGAGACATATGTGGGGTTCCAAGTTGGTGCTACAAGGGGCTACCATCAACCGGTTGGCTTTTCCTGGAGATGGCTACCAGCAGAACAAATGTTGCTAGTACATGGAGATCTGCCTTGCCGTTCCTATTGCTCTGACTGTTATATGAGACAGAAGCTCGCCTGAGGCATTCTGTAATCTTCAGGGTTCTTGAGCCAAAGTGTGCCGACAAGTGAAAGCCAGACCTTCTCTCTCCGCATCGGTGTGCGGTCCGGAGAATCTGCGACTCAGGTGTTGGTTCTTCTAGGTTTCGATATCGCTGGTACTTTCGATGAAGCATAGAGGTGTCTGCGGAGGCCTCAGGCTTCGAAAGGACGCTTGTTTTGTACGGGCTTGTAGGGGTTTGTCGTTTGGCACTTGCAACGAACAATGTTCCTGCCCATGGAGGTGTATGGGACAGGTAGGATCCATGGACCTGTGGCGGTTGTACATGGCGCCTGTCGCGCTGCACAAAGCTAGTGCCGATGTCGAACCCACTCGGACTTGCCTGGACCCTACGTGGAGGCAAAACTTTAAACCACTCGATCTCAAACACTAAACTGTAACTCCGGAAGCTGGACAAAAATGCTTCCGATGCTGCCCAGCTGACTGCACCCGTGTGTGTTGCTGACAAACCGGACCGTAAGCGGAATCAGCAAGGCAATGGCCGAGAAGTCGGTCCAGGAGGCGAAAAGCGTCGCCAAGAAGGCGAGGATGTTTAGGCATAGGACGTAGGACTCGGGGCAATGAGGAGTTTAGGGCTGCGGGGGGGGTGTTTCAAGTTGTATTCCACTTCCCCTTGAAGCCGTGAATGGCAAAGGCCCGAGACCGACATGCTCTTACAGTAATCATTCTGTAGTGATTGCCATCGATTGTTGACTTCACTGTCGCCTGGTCCGAGACACGTGATTCAGTCGGTGCCGGCTGGTATTTCTCATTATCTTTCGTAGCAGTGATCGCAAATTTTACATACTATTCCCGGGGTCTTCGTCTGGGTATTGCCATCTTGCGACCCCCGGATATGGCTCAAGGTTTGAAGCACCGCTGAGACAGGCAGCCATCAAGACCGCAGCCCCGGTTAAATAATGTTCCGGATTCGGCGGTCTAGGCAGGGTTGAGAGTGGAGCATGCAGATAGAGCCTAACCTAGCTGTCTTGCTCGAGCTACGTCTTGTCTTAGCGGGCATGTATGGTGTCACAGAAAAGTGTACACCGGGAAGGCCCTCCTCCTAAAAGCAAAGAAGGATGCATCGCAAGCGAGACCTCGATTGAAAAGCGCCTCCGGCATGCCGACACGTCTGCAACTCACAGCCATCTTCTCCATGCTGCCGTCGCTTGCAGCGCCGGAGTCTGCACTTCCTTTCTCGGGGCATATGTGGAGGACCCCGAACGAAGTGGCTAGTCAGCACGCCGTCATGTGCACCGGGCAGAATACCCTGTTGTGATGTTTGTGTGGCTGTGCAACAAGCACGACAGTGCTCAACGCGGTCACCGCACTAAGCTGGTGTGTCTTAGCAGCACAGCCGTCACCTTGGTTTCATTTCGGCGCTGACTGTTCGGGGTTTTCGGTCCAGAGTTCTACACCAAACGCCCCTGGGCGAGAGCGACAAGGGCGAGCAGAGAATACCAGGTTCCGCCAGCTTTAGGTCACCTGCGGTTACACTCGAAACTCAACTGCTATTGAGTTGACATGATAAGTTTAACGATATCTCGTGCATAAGGTTGCACACACAGATATAAATATGTGTATATATATAGATATAGATATAGATATAGATATAGATATAGATATATATGTATGTCTGTATGAATATATGTATACATACATGTATATATATATATATATACACATGTATGTATGTGTGTGTGACACACAGACAAAAGGAAAACATGTTCAGCCAAAGCGTGCTATTTCTTTGCAGCCACCCGCTGCCGCTGATGGGTGGTTCTCATGTTTTTTTGCGCCAGCAATCGCAGTCAAGCATCTTCCCATCGAAGGCCAGGGTTTACTGTAAGTCGCCTTGGCAGCTGCTTCCAGGTGACTGTGAGCCCAGCGTCCGTCGCGAAATCCCTCCAGACCATTCCTCAGTCCTCGACCCTTCAATTATTGAATGTACTAGTAGGGGTTTGGTGGGGTAGCTAGTCGCCCAAACTTCTAGAGCGGTCTACCCGCAACACCCCCAACACCTCGAGTTAGGTAGGCTCCCGGATCAAACCCGAAGACGGACGACACGCTGAAGTCTCAAACTTGCAGGAGCCGTTCTCTTTGCCAGGGCACCATTGGACGTCTCAAGTTCGGTTTCAGGCCCAGGGCAGATCAAACGATTGCGGGTCTCAGGTTGAAGTTGTACGTGTGTATACTCGGAAATTTGAACTGCATGTCCGAAGATACTTTGTTTCGACGAGGTTTCTTGGTTGTTTGTGCATGGTTAACTTCTGCCACTTATATGGTATATGCAACATGACAGGTAGTCAGACTCATGCATATATAAGTTTAGATCTGATATATATATATATATATATATGTGTGTGTGTGTGTATGTGTAATATGCCTGTGTGTGTGTGCGCATGTTGTGCGTCTATGTATGTATGCCTGATTATGCATGCATGCACATGCAGTGACATGATCAGCCATTACAGGTCTGTATATCTACATAATTCTACGGATACGTATACTCATACATATACATATACACATGCGCATTCACATACATACGTACATGCACACGTACATACACGCCCACATGCTTACATGTGTGCTTGGCATCTTTGTTACGTAGCACGAATTGCTTCGTAAGACAGGAAGCAGCTGGCTTGTTTTGGGGGGTCCCTTGAAGTCCCTTGCGCCACGCCAGGTGGCGGAGGGTAGTTTTGGCCGTTGATGCGGAGGCCCTTTCCGGCACCTGAACTCTTAACACAGGGTGCGTGAAATCAAAGTTATCGTGCACATCCCCACATTGCGAAAAATTTGTCACGCACTCTGCCCGACCAACCCCAACCGCCAGTCATGAAGCCTCCACTCAAAGCCTCGACCAGGCAGGGACGCTTCGAAGTGTTTCGAGCGCGAAAGCCTTACATGGGTAGGCTAGTGCACCAGAAACTTGGCCTAAATTTGGTCAGTCGTGAGAGGCATGCTTCTCAACAAGCGTCATAGTTCGAAGTTCTAAAGGTCTCATGTCATTTGTCTTCATATCCATCGTCAGTTGCTGTGTTCTGGCAATGTTGTCTTGCAGTGCTGACCGGGACTTGGAATCATTACCATTACGCTTGCTGTCGTCATGATTGCAAGGAGTAGTTGTCAGTAATGCGCAGTTTGTTTTGGGGACTGCCGAACCACATCGACAAAGGTTTGACAACCACTCAACATGTTCGTCGTTGGTACCGGGCGGTGGATCTTAGAGTTTTGGGTTCCAGGTTAGGGCCAGGCCTTACAAATCAGATTCCCATGGCCCGGGTCCCGAAAGCATCGTGTAGGGTTTCGGATGGTGGTTAGAGATTTGCATCTGATGATCCTGAAAGCCTTTGGACATAGCAACAAGCAAGTAGGCCAGAGTCATCACGAAGATGGTGCTAACAGCAGTGAGAACACGAAGCGGCAGCATGAAGATCTAGCTTTCAGTTGCTGTCACGCGGGATGCTCCCGTTTAGCCTCAATGTTAGGAGCCCTTGCCTTAAGGGCGTTTGGAAAGGCAGTCCTGAAAGCCTCACGGAACCTCTCGCAGCTTTCCTAACCGTTCCGGACCTTGAACTGTTTTCCTTTCCCTCAGTATCCTCAAAGATTCCCTGGTCGGTCTATCTCTCTATCTCTCTCTCTCTCTCTGTCTCTCTCTCTCTCTCTCTCTCTCTCTCTCTCTCTCTCCCTCTCTTAGATAGATACGTACATGCACAAATGTGTATGTGTGTGAAATACGAAAGGAAGTACTACAAGGGTTGCTATCAAGCTTGCTATGCAAGAATTGCTGTACGGGTTATGTGCAGTCTGCCAAGCCTTAAGGCCCAAGCCATACGAAGCCTAAACGCCCTAAAACCTCTAAACCCTAACCCTTCCTACCCAACTCTACCAGCCCGAATGATCCTTACTAAACCTCAAAAGTTTTCGAATAATACCTACAAGACTGCGACGACGAGGAGAGCTCGGCGAAACGAATTTGCAGAAAGTCGCCTTATCACAGGCTTCGACATGATTCGACTGCACCTCCACGGCGGTAAGGTGGGGTTTAAGCTTGAGAGCCCCTTGGTAGACTTAGAAGTATAGTATATACCGTCCGCCAAAGCCCTGCCATTCAAATGATTCGGGATGCTAAGTTGAAGCGGTGCCTCGCTCCGCTCTGGGTTGCTGCGCCGATGACTGTCGGAATTGTAAGCATGCTGCTAGAGTAATGGCATGTTCATAAAAAGTTCTCTCCAAACGTGCCAGACAAACTTAGATTTGGCGAGGGTGAACCCGGCCCGGAAAGAGACAACAGAAGAAACGAACAGAAATGGTGACATTTCACGTAGTATAAGCAACTAACGTTCTTCTGACGATTCTCGTCGTCGTCACCTGTTGTCCCTTTCATTGACAGACGCACTTCCCAAGCAAAAGAAACCCTGAAGTTTCCACCTTCTGCAGTCGCGGCCAGCTGGTACGTCTTGGGCGTTGCATGTAGAATGGCGTCCTTGCAGCACAAGCAGGCGCAAAGGGGGAGACGTGGTGCTCCCATCTTCGGCAGTGTAAAAGTCTTGGGTTTAGAGAGTTCAAGTACCTAGCTATGCCCGAAAACCCAAAAATCCTTACCCCACGAGTGTATCGCTCTGAAGATGCTAAGATGCCGGAGAGTCCTGTTTCGGCGTCAGAGCGGGGACCGAATTCAATGAAATTACATCTCGCCCTCCGCTTCCGAGCCTCGAATCAAAAACCCGCGCCAAACTTACCAAAGCTCTGACGCTTGAAACATGGGCTCATGAATCCATAAATCCCAATCCTGAAGCTTCCTTAAGCCCTCACATCTTGAGCCCGCATCCTTCACTCGCTCAAGACAGAAGCGCATAAACCCCAATCCCTGAACCCAATAGAAGCTCCGATAGGTGGCAGCCGGGTGGCAACAACTCCGAGCACGACTCGAGTTCCTGGGCTGATGTGGTCATGTCTTTGTTGCTCTTATTGTTGAAGGGTTTAATGTTACTTTAGGCCTTGTCCTTGGCGCGCTGTCGAGCTTGCGGCGGCCGCACATCTTCTTCCTTATTTATCATTCATAATGAATGTCGCTTTTGCTTTGTTTAAGAATGCTTTGCAGTTGTATTCTTCTTCCGGTGGTGGTGTTACTGCTACCGTATGCGCGTGTATGTGTGTTAGTTAGTTAGTTAATTAGTTAGTTAGTGTATTTCGGTTGTGGCTGGCACGGTTGCTTCTGCATGTTCGCCTCTCTGCTGTTGAAAGCTGTTGCGGACGGTATCAGACCTTCACTTTCGCTCTGTCCTGATGAGTCCGGCATTTGCTCAACGTCCTGGGGAGTGTCGCCAATGGTGATGACGATGCTGCTGTCAGTGGTGATGGCGCAACACTTGATTGGCAGGCTTCAGCCAAAACCGGCTGAAGGGATGAGAATGTCTCAAAACAGGGGATGTTCCTGTAGACTCTAGACCCGACTATATAGCCAGTTCCAGGTAGCAGAGCTTTACGACCTCTTGCAATGAAGGACTTGGTCAACACCGAGCAAAGAACTGCATCTATCCACCTGAGCAGTTCATCCTGGCGATCGCAAAGTCGACGGATGCCCGGCACGGTTTTTTGCTGTTGACTCGCTCGGGTGAGATTGGGACATTCACCCCAAAACGTGGGCTGGTGACCACGCCTTTTCCTTGGAGGGATCTCGATCCGACACGCTGGTACAGACTCCTTGCGGTGGGAAGTGGCAACAGCACGGCTTTCTTCTGCAACGGCGAGCACATCGGAGCTGTGCCTGCAGTACCCGAGCGATGGCAGTGGCCTGCGAGGCTGGGGTTCTGTAGAAACTGTGGCAAGTGTAAGCGGCGTAGCAAAGGCCCTGAAGCCCTGGCCTCTGAAGCCCCGATGCCGAGATTCGGTGGCGATGCGGATGCGCGCAAGCCGCAGGGAGCCGGAGAGCTGCGCAACGTCATGTTTTGCACACTGCGCCAACTGCACCCTGGCGCTGCTCCACAGGAAGAATGCCGAGCATCGGAGACGGAAAATGCCAAGACGCTTTGTGCCTTTCAGCTTGCCATGAAAAGCGCCATTGGGCCTTACCCTCCCAACTCCATACATACCGAGCTGTGCACGAATGCCAGGTAGCGCTTGCAATTTCCTGTCAAATCCTCCCTCCTGCGTACATAGGCATAAACTGTATATGTGTTGGACGAGTTCACGAGACCACCAACACTAGCAATGCAAATGCCGTAGAAAGGGACGCGTGCCCGGACCTGTAACATGACTCATCCGCTTTGACAAAACTCACAATAGTGCACATGCATATCTGCATACAGACAATAAAGCCATCGGACACCTTCTTACTTGCGACACTGTTTTTATGCCAAAGCATGTTTCTCTTCAGAGAACAGGCAAGGCATATCCAGACCATACACACGGGCTCTCTCTCTCTCTCTCTCTGTGTAGCTCTATTGCATCACAGCGTTGTAGTATCTTTCTTCAGCTTATTGCATCGAGACCCGTATAGCAGAATACAGTTTACAGCAGCATAAGATACCACATACAATGCCAGTGCTTGGGCAAGCAAGTCGATGTAGCGATCGTACAGTATCATCCAATATATTTCTTACCACTTGAGACTGAACGCTTTATGCAGTCGGTCGTGGTCTACATGTAAACCGCGGGATCCAGACCTCAGCCGTGCGACGCGGTTCATCCTTTTGAGTGCAATCTGCTGGCAGGCCGGTACTGCTGGCACACTCTCCGAGATCCTCGTCACGTGCCGTGCCCAACATGTCCTTGAAGGGCTGCAAAGAGGTTTCTTAGGTCTCGGCAAGCTTCACCTGAGGTGAAAATCTTCAACTTCAGTTCAGGTTATGAAGTTGAGGGCCTGGAGAGTCTTGTTTCGAGGTCTGCAACTCGTGGTCTAGAGAACACCGGGACCAACCCTGAAAGCCATCCCATCTCTTTCGCATCCTGGATGGGCGGAGCTGATTTGATGGGGTGGAGCTGGTCAGGGTTGGATTCCCGCCGTTACGAAAAGGATTGATTAGGGTTTGGGATTTGCGGCTTGGGTGGGGTCGAATCTTGCATGAGTAGCGCCAAGGTTTCCAATCCCGATTTGTTTCTGACAATAGGCATTCTTGCTTTGAGGTCCCAACTCTCGAAGACGAGCCGGATTCGAAAGGATGCACAATGGGACTGCTTCCAATCCCACCAACCGTAAAGCTCTGGCAGTGCTCGAGCCAGAGACACACTAAATCCGAAAACCCTCATAGGGAAATCTACGTTCGAACCATCCGGGCATGGGGACGGGGATTGTAGATTGCAACTCGGATCCTTGAATTACCGAGAGCCGAAGCCATCCGAGCAGCGTCGCGATGCACTGGCTCCTAAAATCACACTTGTGCCAGCATTATGTCCAGGGGGTTGTTTGGGTTTGCCAGGGTTCATTGCTCCTTGAAATGGAAGAGCATTGAAATGTTCGGGGCCTCAGCTCAGGGTCTGACCCAGTGTCACAACGATGTTCTTGATTCATGCCGTGTCCCTGGAGCCTGGACACTAAAGTCTGCAAAGCTACAACTCGCGACTTCGCAATTTTGGCTCGAAGACGCCCCCGTCCAAGACAGGGGCGGCTCTGACTCGCCAAGACGGCGTGCGGGGAAGGGGGGCGGGCTTCGTAACAGACGGAGAGACTGATAGCAGATCGAAAATGCAAGGAAAGAGAACTCTTACGACTCTGCCTAAGCAGCCCATCAACTACCCAATGCCCTTGACACTTATAAGACTGTAGCCAACTTCCCGAAGCTTCGCTCGATGCTCTACCTTCGCCCATCGAGCCATGTTGGATTCTCTTTGACTTGAGTGCAGCTGGACCATGTGTTCTCGATCCTTTGTGGTTCAGAAGCGCAGCGGCAAGTCCCTGAACCGCTATCAGATTGGCGATTCACTGGGTGCAGGTGGGCACTGCAGGGCCACAGGTCCTTTCTAAACTCCTTCGGGTGCTGGGTTCGAGCTTCAGCCCAGCCTCCGCCTCAGAACTATGGGTCGTGTAGGTGTGGATCAACACCTCCTCCGCTTGCAAGCTTCCCCAGTCTTTCGAATTTCAGCTGCCGTCATATTTACAGGGCCATGGCGCCCCGTGGATTGATAATCGAGCAGGTTCGAGCTGAATGACTTTAGTCAGTCTTTATGAAGATTCAATGTCATCGTACCCCTCCTTCTTCCCCCATTATTTGCCCTAAATCCCGAAGTCGAAGTCGGAAAACCCATTGCTGCACCTCAACCCGGTTCCAGACATGAAAATGGTTGAGAACAGCCTTCAGTGGATTCCAGGCCTTTGAAACCCATCTCTTGCGAGCCATTCGTGGCTACTTTTGGGTTGGGAAATAGGGTCAAGGAGTTTTGTGAAGAGCCCCCACCCCCCTTGCCCTCCCTCGGACGTTCGTGCCAGGCTGCTTCGGGACCGTAGCGAAGGCAACCGACAAGGTCTCAGGCGTTCGACGGGCCTTCAAGACTGTCTCCAAGGTCAAGCAAGCTCAAATGTCGAAGAAGGATCCGACTAGGGCTTCAACTTTGCATGCACTGCTTGCGCAGCAGCGTTGTTGGCGGTTTGCTTCGCTTCTTATTCTAGAGCTTCGGGAATGGGTAGAAGGCCAAGGTGACAAGTTGCTTTGGTCTTTGGCAGGCGACCGCGGTTGATGATGATGATGATGATGACTATGATAGTTGGGCTAGAGTTTTGGCCATGGAAGTCGTGCATGATGGTCCTTTGTCCTTTCCTTTCTGTTCTCCCACAAAACCGTGGAGCTAGGAAGCGGCAATGATGGCACCACTGGACCATCCCAGCATTTGCCGCTGAGCTTGTCTGGGAGCTGGTGAACGGGCTAAGCAGGGGTTCGCGTAGGAAGATCAAGAGAGTGGGTCAGTGGGTCTGATCTAGTATGCGACAACAGAAAGGAGAGAGTCACAGAGAGAAAGATTGAGCGAGAGGGAGCCCTCGCCCCTCAAGCCCTGGCGAAGAAGGGAGCAAAACTTTGCGTCCAACCAACAGAGAGAGAGAGAGAGAGAGGGGGAGAGAGATAACACTTGCCATGGCCCAAGGTGAAACTCTCACATGTTCTGCTTGTAAGTTGACCACGTGCGAAAAGCCTTTTGACACGGCTAACAAACCTCGTGGGGCAACCGTGATGATGATACTGTGGTTACACTGCGCCTTTTAGCAGCTTCCTAGTGTTACTTTTGCTGTTGGGGCATCCGGTTTGCCTTGCTCGTTGCCTCACCTGGCTTCCCTGAAACAATTGGGGGCGCCGGAGCAACCAGAGGCCAGTCGCTAGTCCAACGTTAGAGCAAAGTCTGGGCTGGCCGCATGAAAAGCCACGCGGCCAGGTCTTGGTTCACAGTGGCGACGGCTAAGGACATTATACGGCTGACACTATGGAGTTCATGATGTAACTGCGCGATGCATCATAGCACAACCGTTGGGCCACGAGAGACGAAGTTGCTCTTGCAACGTTGATGTGCTTGGTAGCTACCAAAATCGCCGCGAGGTTCTTTGCACCAACCTTCAGCTACAAGATAATTCGGGCTGTCAAGCGTCTAGGATAGGAAGAACAGCCAGCAGCACAGATGGAAATTGGGGTTCTGTGTAGGGTATGCTAGTGGACCAGGTCCTTTTCCCAGATGTCCAATCCCTAAGACAACAGCTAAATCCGACTCTCGACTAGATGAGCCGTGCTCTACACTCCTGAGCTCGAGCACTTAAACCCAACGGCACGGAAACCATCTACTCAGGCCGGCTCTATGATGTTATTGATGACAAAGAGCACATGTACTTCGTGATGGAGTAACGCGGCTGTCAAAAGTTGGCAGGGGTGCTCCATCGTTCGGCACATCTGTGCAGCATACGACAGTGGTTCTGCAACCATTCGATGAGCATGCAGTGCGACCCAGACTAGATTCGGAGAGGTAGGTCCCATAAAGAGCCCAGCATCCGGTCAAGTCCTGCATCTCTTTGATTTTCCGAAGATGTAGTTTCTCCGAATACCAAATAAAGCCTTGACAGCCTGGTTTTGGCAAGTTTTACGTCCCAAGGCACGGGCAGGGTGGGCTTGGTCTACGAGTCGGAAGAAGAGCAACAGCGTTTCTTTGTAATCCCCATGGGCCTATACATGTATCTGGGACTCAACAATGTCCCAACCCGTCTGAACGGTGCAGGCAAGACGACCAGGCCTCAGGGCTGAAACCCAGATGCGGATACCCACCGGTGAAGCTCAAGAGAAGTGGTTGAACCCCGGACCCCTTCAGTGCCTTCTGATACCCAGACACTGGGCCAGACATGTGAAAGGCTCCCGCAACGGTGCGCCGCATCAATGTGATGCGGCTGCCGATACCTTGAGAAACGGCAGCGTAGGGATGGGCACGTGCATTCCTCACATGCTTTTCTGCTTCGGAAAAGCACTCCCCCGACCTTGTGCTGTCCTGTCTTCGGCTAATACAGAGAGACAGTGGATACAGCAAGAACAAAATAGTAATGACAGTGATGATGACGATGATAGTTAACAACAAGGCTGAAAAGTCGGATAACCCCAGTATTACATGTTTACTTGTTAATAGCCAAACGAGACCAGGATGCACGCCTGTTCCCAGGCTTTGTGCTGGAGGTGACTTGCAGAAGCGCCTCCAGGATTTCACCGACCAGTTCTTGCCCGAACCCACGGCTGCGCCACTGGGACGAAGGTTTGCAGATGACTCTTTCAGGGTTTAGGTCTTCCGGCTGATTGCAAGAGTCCTGGATGCAAAGGTCTTGGGGTCTGGGTGTTTGGAGATCACTATGTCGACGATGTCTCTCGTGGCTGACCATCATGAAGTGAAGCCCACGTCTCAAGCTCAATCCTTTAAGTCGTCCTGCCTGGCTCGAGCCAAAGTTGATCAGCCGAAACCTGAAGTCCTCCAACCGTGTCTCTTAGTCTAGCCTGCATTCGCGAAGGGTCTCGTTATAGCAGGAAGACCCCAAAGCCCATCCCCTGCGATCGCATTCAAGACATCAACCCCAACCCCGAAAACCGGAACCTCAAAGAACAAGCTTCATGCGGACGAAGATCCGCGCGAGAAAAACCTGCAGTTTTGCTGTCCCCAATGCAAGTACAATAATTGTGGGGCACGCCCGGCCCCTGCGAAGGCGATGTTTGTGCAGCATCGCGTGTTTCATGCAGTGATGCAGAATACTCAATCGAACAAGCTCGAGGTCACTCATGAAGCAGCTGTTCTCTGCCATGAACTACCTCCACCAGCTGCTCTACCTGCAGAGATTCAGATTGCGAGGTCTTCAACAGAAGCATCCGCAAAAGCTACGGGCAAGTAGGCACTTGCTCTGAGCTATCTTTGTCTCCGTAAAACCCTAGTTCGAGCAGCGATTCACAGAGAAGCTTCGGCGCAACATCGCGGAGGTCAAGGCCCTGGGACCCTGACAGCGCTCCGATCCTGAAACCCTTGAAATTTATAGTGAGGTATCATATGCATGCTCACTAATGTTCGCAGTGGTGCGACTATCAGATATTGTTGTTCTGAAAATGACTATCGGACTATCGGCCCCTAAGAAACCATAAGCCCTGAGACTAGGGGGACCTTAGGCTCGGGATCTCGCATGGAGATTTCGCAGCGCGGAATGTTCTGCTCAAGGAGGACAAGCCTTTGGATGAAAGCATCCCGGCTCACTTAGCGTCTCTTCCAATCGTGCCTCTCCCCAGAAATTGCATCCAATTAGTTTTTAGCGGAAACAGCAGGACACAGCTTGGGTCTTATAGGAGTCCTAATGCTTCCTCTCAACCCTTTCCCTCCAAGAAGCCTCGCCTCACGAAAGTGCCATGTTCTTCGCCAGACCCCGTCTGGCAGCCTTGTCCCTACATATCTGGGCACGATTGAACTTCAGCCCTCGCGCCACCTTCGCAAGAGAAGCACCTCCACGTCGGATCCCAAGAACCTGAAAAGCCCACGGAGCCTCTTAAGGGGCCCGTCCTTGCAAGATGTACAGGCATGGTCAAAATTGCAGATTTCGGGAGTGCTCGCAGCGTCGATACGCTCCTTGTCTTGACTGCTTTGCTTTGCGGGTTGTTTGGGGACCTTTGGCGGCATGAGAGGGGATGGGTCTGTGGAGCGCTGTACAGCTGCAACAGGATACCACTAAAACTGAACTTGTGCAGGTGCATGTGCAAGGTGACTTGGAGTTTCGGTTATGTCGGGCGTGAGAGTTTTGAAGGCTTTCGATACACTTACAGCTTGTAGCATCTTTCCTTCGACGGCTTGGTGCTTGCTGCGCAAAAGAGTTGCACTTCTTTGCACCAGCAGTTTAGCGCATAGCGTTTAGGATGTACCATTTTTGAAACGCTGAAGGAGCTGGAAACGAAGTAGTTACGTAGTTCAAAGTGAACCTTCCGGGGGCGTTTAGATCTGCCGGGCACTGCCACACTTTTAAAGGGTGGTCGGAAGCGGCTCTGCGATTTTGTTCGGCGCGTTTGCCTCTCACCTACACCGGCATGAGTTATTCAAAACTCGCTTAACATCAGTAAACCCTAGCCCAAACAAGAAGCCCACCAGAGATGCCCAAGGACGCAAGAGTCCGGATCCCACAAGAGCGACATTTGGGGTCTTGGGCGGCCTGGCAGGAGAAAGCCAACGGAAATCCCAGAGCCGGGGGATTGGGATCAGGGCTGCTGTCAAAAATTGGGACTGTTGTGTTTCCTGTCTGGATTGGAGACAGTATTGCGCATGTGCAGCTGCGGTCTCGTTCCGATGCTCGCAATCTCGTTGACGAAGTGCGAAGAAAGACGGCGCGGCCGCGCCAAAGAATGCCTTCTGTTCAATGTTCTTTTTAGCAGACAAAGTAACCGCCCCTGCCCACGGCGGAGGCGGCTCATGCGTGGCCTTGTCTGTGACATTAGCCGCGTGCTGGGCAAGTCCACGATCGCAAGCGCATCCTGGCAGGAATTCGGGGCACAGAATCTGGGATTCACGGTGTAGGGCTGGTCGATGCTGCACACCGTTAACACAACTTCACTTCCAGCATCTCGTTGAGGCACTTCACACTGAAATGGCAAAACCATACTGCAAGCAACCGTGCTTGGCTTCAAACATGACACCCGGCGGGGAAATCGCTCCAGGCCCAAACCCTGAACCTACGAAAATGGATTGAATCCTGAATCAAACCTCAGAGCGTTTTGGGGTTTCGAGCAGAAGCAATGGAGTTTTTCGGGTTGACAGGGCGTGGAATCAGAAGGTCTTTGCTGGGGGATTGGTTTTGGTCATTCCGATGCGAGAATGGCGGCAGGGCCTCCCATTGAGCTTGCTAGAGGTGACTAACACAGCGGCCTAAATAATTACCTATCTTATTGTCAGGGTTCCTTATCATAATCGTAGTATGATGGGCCCAAAACCCCATTCTAATCACTAAGGCCCCTATAGACATGACGTTCCAAGTTCGCTTGAGGCTCGAAATCGAACTGAACTGGGCACCTCTTGAGGAAGCCTCAGAAAGGAGGGGACCCAAGCATGCAGCCGTGAACAGCAAGATCCTTACTAAGAACACGGACCAGAGATCTCTGATAGGTTTAAACTCCCACAGATTGGAGCTTAAACCTTGAGCTGCGAGTGGTAAAGAAGACTCTAAACCCGAAGAAAGCCAGAGGTCAGAATTATGGTACAATGCCCCCAAAACCCTATTCTCTTAAGGCCCCTGCCCTACTTTAGCATTAGCAGACCAAGAGGCCTCTGGTCAAACGTCGGCTCGAAAGCCGATGGACGACAGCGCCGCCGGACTGCGATGTGCGAGAGGGGTCTGACGACTTTGGGAATCGGGTTCAGGAGCAGGGCGTAGGATCTAGCATAGTGGCTTACAGTTTCGCTACAGTGCTGAAAAACCCTAGACTTTAACTGGACTGACCTTGAAGTCATATAGATGATGGCATTCCCGTCCTGGTACCGCTGCCACGTGAATGGCGGGCTTCGGAATGCAGCTGTGTCTTATTTGGATCTGGTGGGTCACAGAAAAGTTTGATCCAAGACTGCAACGACTGGGCACCTGTCGAAAGCCATTGGGCTCAGCCCCTGCTTTGGGCTAAGTTTACCGTAGCCTTTAGGGTTTACATAGGCTGTCATTTGGATTATAGACTGCCCGCACTCAGCCTTTTTCACAACCGCCTGGCCCAAATAAACGAGATCAGGGAAAGCTCCAGTGTAAGGCACCTTTTCAGCGACTTCCTCGTAATCTGAGTCGTATTTAACCACAGCACACAGTCGAACTGGTTATTCCGGCCCATGGATAGTATTCGTATGTGTGTGTGTGCATATATATATAGAGGCATACGGTTACCATATACATCTCACACACTGCACATGTGTATGGGCGGAGGCAGAAAGGGATATATATATATATATATAGATGTATATATTATACATATATATATATATGTTCATAAAATATAAGTTACATGTCCAGAGTTTTATTGACTTCCGCAATGCCTTACCATACTCTTGGGGGGTTTGGAATGCATGAGCGGCATCGGATCCGCTTCGAGGGTGCAGGAAACGCCCGAACTTTTTGCTGCGTTAGTAGACGAATACCAATCAGCTTCCAGCGACTGAGGCCCTGAGCAGTGTTCGTGATGGTGTTTCCAGTCCGGTTTAAGGCTCCCACACCCAGACACTGCGGTTTTTGCCGGCCACAGCACTGCGCAGCAGCGCAGTTGCCGACACGGAAACAACCGCCAGACTTGTAGTCATGTGGAGTCGAAGGAGCAGTTGCGGATAGTTGAGGGATTGAACCGTCGGAACAAGGCCCAGAACTGTGACCACCGATAAAAACTCCAAGAACTACTAGTGGCAAGCTTAGAGACTTTTCTTCACCAGCACTCCGAAAACTGACCGACGGCTGCTTGCGACCTTTTTCTGTGGATCTTTCACTGCTTCGAATGAGTGGGCTTTCCTTTTCGGGAGATGGGTGGGAAGCCTGGGGTCATCGGTTTACACTGGTGCGACTCCTGCAGCCGGTGTTCTGCTTCGGCATTGCTCACAGCGTCATGGACAATCTCAAGTGTTGTGCACGGGGCTTGTTGCTTCCGGAGAGAGCAGATGCAACGGCCTTGAGGCATGGCTTGGGCATTCAGACGAGTCGCGCTGCCTTTGTGGCCGAATTCTCCGCCGGGATCCTGCTGCAAGGCCTTCGAGGGTGAGTTTTGGGCTCCAAGGGGCTTTTCAGAGCTCGGTGTCCGCACAAAACTGTTCACATCACTTCTCGCAAGTGGTGTCACGAACTAAACTGGACCCTAAGCCCTTCAGAAGCACGATGGCCGAAGGTGGACAGCAGAGGAGGCTTTACACCATCCCTGGCTGATGGGCGCGAAAATGCAGTCGAAGGACACTGCGCCCGCAGGAAAAAAACATTAATTTAGAGTCGAGGGTTGATAGAAACATTGTTTCACGAGCAATAGCACAGGAACCCGGAATGGCGAAAGGATAGTCGCGTGTCCTGAGCCGTGAAACGCCTCAGGTTCAATAAGCCCCTGGGAAGCTGAAGTGGGAATCTCATGCAGGAGGCTCCTCAGACGTAGCCGCGGGCCAGATCCCCCCAGTTGCGACTAGTGTGGTCAGACCGGAGACGAGTTCATACCTCATACGTGGCATCGGATATCGAACGACCTTGCAAGAGGCTAGCCCAATGGCCCCAAACCTGAAACTCGAAATCGAGAGTCGTTGCACGACAGCCCGGGAGTTAGGGTGTGGTGCTCAAGATTGACAGGAGGCAGCCGTTCCGGAGAACATCCTCCAACGCCTTCAGCAGCTTCGCTGCAAACCAATCTCTGCCAAAGTCAAAGCCCTGCCTCAATTGAGACTGACTCGGACGGCCCGGAGGAGGGGGAGGGTCTCGCCTCCTACTGCGGGCTCGGCCGAGAGCCGCAAGTCCCGTGCAGGTTCACAGGTCCTCAGGTGCAACTGCAACCAGGGTTGTGACAACGACGACTACTCACTGCTACTTGCTACTTGCTGCTGCTGCTCCCTCTAACACAACTACTTAGAGGAGAACCCCAAAATTCAAGATGCAGGGCTTGTGCTTCCAAAGCAAACCCGAGAGTACACGAGAGTTGACGCAGGGCTTTCGCCAATGCCAGCAGCCTCGAGCGGATTGCGCTGCAAGCCATCGCCGAGCACCTTGGCAGTCGCATTAGCCAGCATATTGGTCAGGCGTTGTGGCGAAAAGGCCTTCACCCGGCTTCCAGCGATGACAACACTTCGCTGAGAATGGAAACTGAAGCTACCGTTTGTCAGTCAGGCCGTCTCGTTACTGGGCAAGTCAATGAGCGCCCTGTTTCGGCAAGTAACCTCGGTGCATCCTTTGTTGAATCAACTGTGTTCCTGCCCCACTTCCTCACTACGCTACTCTCATGCAATTGAAGTCGAGGGTTCAGTTCCTTGTCATTTTCGACTGGTTGCGTTCTCCTGACGCTCGGAACTTTTGTGTACAACAGGGCTTGCCGATAGCCGTGCACGGTCAGGTTGGATATTGGGATCAGACAGGGACAAGCAGTCCTGGCAGAAAACTGATCGGTGCGTTACCTTCGTCATGGCGAAAGATGCAGTTTTGAAGCCCGTGCACCGCACCCTACCTGTCGCCGGACAGGAAGGGTTGAGACCGCTCTATCAAGATGAGAAAAGTTTGAAGAAGGTACCACCTTGACGCAGCATCGACTGCCATGGCAGCTTGATCTGTTTCGCGCCTGCGCAAACCAGTGCAACAGCAACAACAACCATGGGACATGGAAGCCTGAACAGCAATCAACAAGGACCCCCAACAGCCCCAACATGGGACTGTGGACCCTGAGCTGAGGGGCCTAGTAGGGCCTAGAAGTTTCTTTCGAAGGCAGAGAGGAGGCTGCGAAAGCCTCTTTGTCACACTGGACAAGCCGCTTGGCCTTTGAATGATCGTCTAAGGGGATGCGAAATACTGAGTCTTAGGAGCCAACTTCTGCTGTGATGTCGGTATTGAAGCTTCCTGAGGCGCTGAAACAGGAAGGGAAGACACCAGCGAAAGGTGAGAGCAACTCAACCCTGCACCAGCCCGCGCTCAAAACCCCAAGGACCTGACGATCCCCAGAACCCTGGCCCTAGGGTCCGTATCGTACAGCTCCGAAGCTTTCAACACCTAGTGACAGCGTCCGGCACATTCTTGGCATCATGTTGCTTCCAGGGACGCTGATGGCCTCCTCACACCAGCAGACCTCCAGTGCCCTGGAGCGAAAGATAGGGCGTATGTCTCGCAGGGTGTTGCTGTTGGGGGGCCAAACGGCCCAAAGAGCCAAGAAAGAACCTCCGGGCCGCCGTCTATTCAAAACCCGCAGGCCCAAGCAGGGCCGGCAAGCCCAGGTGCTCCTTGGAACAAGTCTTCGGCACAGCGGTTGAGATGCCGAACTTGCATTCACTCCTGGCCGAGGCAGAGAGGGCTCGGATTCAGTTGTTAGAGCTTCCAGAGTTTGTCGGGTTAAGGCTTTGTAAGGCTTTGGGATTTTAACAGTTCTGGTTGCGGCTCTTTGGAATGAAGGCGCATGGCGTATGATATAATAGTATAGTAGTGGGAATTTTGTGATTGGGCCCAAGAAACAGGCAGCTTATGGCGTCGGGATTGGGGCGGTGTTGGGCTCAGGCCTTGGTCTTTAGGGCCTGGTTCTGGCGGTTCATTGCCTACCGAAGAAGCGGAGGTGCAACTGCAGAGAGTCTTACATGAAGTAACCAACATCTCAAAGTTACCCTTTCTCTTGCGTTCGACGTTGCGAGAAGCTGCAGCGACCGCTGCAAAAAAGCAGTGCAAGTCGCAGAACACCCCGACTCGGGCCTTGCTAGATGAATGTCAATACAAAGCCAACTACGGCTTAATCACCAGCAGCATAAGCAGCAACAGCCACAAGAAGATCAGAATACTCCAAAGTAAGTGTCATGCGCTGGATGAACCTGACAACCAAATCCCAGGTCGATCCGGATGGTGTCGGCGTGGTAGAGCTTTCGACTTTCAAGGCTGCGATGCTTCAGGCCCCGTTGGCCTGGGCCTTGCTTGACCTGAGGATCTGAAGAACGTGATCATTGAAGAGTTCAAGTTGACAGGGTGTATGTTTCACTTGAGAATCAGCATGGCGGGCCGGGCCCCCAACCCTAACTTCAGATCCTTGCGACAACACGTGACCATCAGTTCTGCTAGTGTTTGTATTTTTAAGCTAAACATCGCCGTGCTCGGGCTGATAGTACTTGTATTCATGATGTTGACAGCTACCGCTGAACACGAGAAGCAACAACGAAGAGAACCCTCTGAACCCCAAACAAAGGAGTCGCCCTAGATGAGAGCGAACTGTAATACTTGTAGCTGCAAGTTCGAAAGCCTTGCCCAAAGCAACACGATGCCTAAACCGGAAGGCTTCAAGGGCTCAGACCCGGAATTAAAACTGCCCAGCATATTTCAACTGAGCTCGCTGCATCAAGAAGCTCGAGACCACGACCTGGCAGACTGCCGCGGTCCCGCTGGGATTCATATTGCTTGCATTTGCATGGTCATGAACCTCGTGACCTCGTCCTGTATGTCCCATCACACCGCTCCAGAGAATTTGGATGTTTTTGTTCGCGGTTTTGTCTTGACGAGGCAGCCAGCTTGGACAAGAGAATGATACTAGCCGGCTTCCGTGTGATCGACAGGGACGCTTGGCTGTTAACTATGGAGCTGGACATTTGTGGGTTGTGAGTTTTGCGGCGACGACTCTGTGACTTGTGTTGCTTGTTTGCCATTACCAACGAAATTGAAATAAACTTCGCACGCTCACGCCCCCACCCCACACAACAAAGAAACATCGCCCCAGCCTTTGCAAAGGAAGTCTCGCAGTTGAAGCCTCAATTCGGGGGAAACAAACCCATCACGCTTCAAGTGCAGTAGACGTCGAACAGGGGTTCGTATGAAATTCGTGATAGTCGGTGGAGGTATAGTAACCATCGAATTAAGTGACACCGGTAGTCCACAAAGAAAATAATTCTTCTCGTCTTGCGGAGAAATAAGAAACAGAATTCCATCCGCAGCAGCACACCATTCGTACAGTGGAAGCCGTCGTCGTGGCAGTAGCAAAGGTCGTAGTATGTCGTAGTCATATTGGCAGTGGTAGTGGTAGCAGCTAGTGGCTCCTTCGACTTCCCTTTCGACCCCTCGTCGGCCGTTTCAGCGATTGTTCGTGGACGCTGCTCTGTTGCCAGATAGGGCAGCTGAGACCACGACGATGATAAGCACGAGAACAAAAACGACGACTGCTCCCGGCGATGGGGATAGACATATGTTCGGCATTTCCGAGAGGACCAAGTGCCTCCAAGGACATGGATGGCAAGATTACCGCCAGAGACCTTCTGCGAGTGTTCGTTGAAATGGAGGTAGAGGAGGTTGCTGAGACATCTTGGCAGAAGCTTTAGGTTCCTTTGTTAGTCCACGCGGCAGAAGCACTGTACCAGGATGTCCAACATGTTTCTTGGTCTTGCGATGATTGCAGAGCTTCGAGCAGAGCCCAAAATGAAGAGGTTTAGTAGAGTGTAGTGGAGCTCTTCGTGGCGATTTGCGGAAGGGGATAAAGCACGATTGGGATCTCAGGCATCCAGCATGGTGGCGGCCTTCGATTTGGATTGTGATGGAGGTCTAAATTCGGAGGAATTCACCGGCATGGTGCATTCTTATTTCCAAACACAAACTGCTGAAGGCACCTGGCCAAAGACGCCTCTGAAGCGGAAGACTCCCGAGATGAGGCGATTCAAGCTTTTCTCGATGAGCATGAGGAACTTCCGCACTGTGGATGAAGACGACAATGACGCCCACTCGAGCTGCGTCGCATCAAGTATCTTTACCACGAGCAACCTGGCTGGGGACAGTCGCCTGGTTGAGTCCAGCAGCAGCAGTGGCGGGGAGGAGGAGGTGGACACGGCATTATCCTTGTCCCTGTCTCAGCCACCAAGCATGCAGCAGCAGCTTTTCTGCTTTCGTGACACTTATCGAGGTTCGGGAGTCATAGAGTTGGTTGATCCTCGATGGACCCAGGTCGCAGGTGCCAGAGCGCACGAAACCCGCGAAGCCGCTGGGAAAACCGGCTGCCAAACCGCTCACCAAGCCTCCTGCCAAGCCGGCTGTGGCCGTGAGCAAGGCACGGCTTGATGCTTCAGAGAAACCCTAAAACGAGAAGGAAAAGCCCGCAAAGATAGCTTGGCAGCAAACGCTGATAGTCTTGTAGAGGAGTTCCGATGACTGATCGGGCTCGGCCGATTCTCTTTAAAAAGCATGGAAACATGCTGCCCGTCCTCGTGTGTCCTTCCTGCCGCTGCATGCTCAGCAGGTTCGTTTCTCTGTGCTCTTGGCATCTCCGACTTTTCCTTGTTCGGTGTAGAGTGTAGGGAGATGCAGGGGGCCTTTGTTCTGACTTGTGCCCCCGACGATTGTTCATCCTCCCACGGCCCCTTGTCCTGCAACTTTTGGTCTTCCATGTCTCCGTACATCCCCGACGCCTCTGCAATGCCGTGGAGCTGCCGGCATGCTGCAGACAGCGGTTCATGTCTGAAGATTAAACAGTTGCCGTTTGCACACTATGCTTCAGGCTGTGTTGGACACTTCCTGTTTTGCTTGCCCCCATGTGCTCTTTTTCGCCTGCGGCCCGATGCTTGAAGTTCGTAAGGGCGCAGCCCGTTTGGCTTGCATTCAGCTGCTCCGCGTGCAGCACGTGACCCCCTTCCGACCCTACTCCCCCAGTCTTTTTAATCCTATCGCCTCTTTCTCCTGCCCAGTCTAGAAAAGGTCCACACCCCGTCACGTGCCTTCACGCTACGCCGTTCCCGTCTCCGTTCCCGGTTTCCTCGACCCTTGTCCTGGTTCCCGTTTTCCGCCGGTCCAGACTTGAATCATCCCGTCGGTGCCACTGCCCCTGTTCTGGCAAGAAGCCCCAAAGCACGAGGAAGGCAGCACAGGCTATGACCAGACCGCGGCCATTGTACACTAAGTTACACAAAAACAGCGAGGTTAGCGACAGCGTCTGCAAAACTGGCTTATAAGAGTAAGCAGCAGAAGTCGTGGTCTCCAGCTTTTCACTCTAGCGCCGTGACACGATGAGCCAGGTGTCGGCAAGGGGCGCGGGGGCTTCAGATAGTCGGCCTGTCGCCCAGCAGAAGTCATGGACAGAGTCTACGGCGTCTGCGGCTCCTCGCCTGAGATCTAGTGCTGTCTTTGCAGTAAATGACCTGGTTGACTACGGAGACGCTGAGACTCAAACAGTGGGTACCGCCAGCAGGAAAGGAAAACAATCCCACCGGACGTAACACACTCATTCATTCCTTCTATCGTTTCTTCCCGGTCTCAGTCGATCGTCGTGATGGCAACTCCACTCCATCTCCTGACTGTCCTGATATGACGGCTGCTGGTGTGCCATTCATCGTTAATGCAGAGATGTACTGCCAGCTGCATCAGCAACAATTACCGCCACGGCTGGCAAGGCGACCGACACAAAGATGACGTGCGACTACTGTTCCGCCTGCTCCTCCTCCCGCTACGGCTGCTACTACTGCTGCTGCTCCGACTGGGTGCAACTACTCTACTACTTCTGCTTCTACTTCTACTTCATTCTTCTTCTACTTCTACCACTGCTACTACTATTACTACTACTACTCCTACTATTCCTACTACTCCTAATGCCTCTGCTCCTGCTCCTGCTGCCGCAGCTGGTGATTTCGAGAGTATATGGTTCTTTCGGTGGTGATTTACTTATCGTCGCTCCAAGAACATGCAGGATGTCATGTTGCTGGAGAGCCGACTTGCTGAAAAGCGCAGGTTGTTCGTGAGTTGTTCGTGATATCGATGCGAAGCTATGGCATGCTCTCTAAGTTTGACAGATCAAAGTTACGAAGGCGAATATGCGCAATGATTGCGTGTTCTGGAGTTGAGTTCACGCCATGAGAGAGAGAGAGAGAGAGAGAGAGAGAGAGAGAGAGAGAGAGAGAGAGAGAGAGAGACATGATTGAACCTTAAGCCCACTGTACCAGGAGAAGGTTGCGAAGCCACCGGCCTCGAAGAAGACGGAGTCACGCCCCGAAGCGGCGGGCAAATTGCAGCATCCCGGCATCAAAGCTTATGCAGACTTCGGGCCTCCTTGCATCACCGGGGATTTGGGGCTAAAACCCGGAAGGTGAAAGTTGCAAGTTGAGGCTTCGTCAAAGAGTGAGCTCCAAATCCAAGAGTTTCTGGGTCCGTCCTGTTCTTTACTCCACACTTCGTGCGCACGTCCAATTCGGACCCTCGTGTTCAACAGCTCCAAAGCATCCACCACAGCCTATAACTTGCCGGAGCCTGAGAATAACAGAGCCTCAGGACGGCACAATGTTAGTATGATGTTTGCTCTTATTCGTTCATGACTGCCTGCTACGAAGCCTCATCCCCACAAGGCCCCTGATTCGACCCCGAGCTTTGGCCTGTCTGGGGATGAAGATTGTCGGGCCCCACGTTCGTTGTCAGCTAAACAGTGGATGGAACCTTCATTCCCTGTCATGAGCGCAGACACCCCCAGAAGCTCAAAGGCCAAAGCCCCGGCCTAGGCTTAACAGGCTTAACAAACAGATTGTTTATTGCTTGTCCTCTCTCTGTCGAGCCGCTGCAGACTCTGTATGTAGACACTGCTGCGTCGGATTTCAGGTGGCAAGCCCTGGAGAGCATTGACTTCTGCATGCTAAGATGCCCCGCAGAGATTACGAGGAGTCTTGCGGTTTGAGCGAAGGTCCCCTGCACTACCCGACGATGCCGAAGAAGTGCTTCAAACGGCCGCAGCTTGGATTCAGGGGGTTATGCGAGAGGGGGGTCTAGCGCTTGCAGGATTCGGACGGCCTTCTGGTGAGGGCTCGAAGATTCGGTGTAGAAAATAAAGGCACCGCGAACTATGGGAAATAAGTACTGCCATGATGATCACACTCACTATCCTCGTACTCATGATAAAGCAGAGTGAGCACAAGTCGTAGGCGTTTTCGAGGTCGTATTCTGAAAACCACAGAAGTGAAAACACCAAAGCCAGCTCAGGGCAGCCAGTTTTCGAAGCCACAGCTGGAAGGCAACGCGAAGAAGCAGTCGTTTGCACGATGTGTGCGAACAATCGTTTCACTCTAGGCCCGGTACCCAAACTCCAGGTAGCGGTGTCAAAAGCAGATCGAGCGATTTGGTTTTACAGTTTGGGGACGGCAGCCAATAAATCTGCTCGAGGCCAGCATGAGCATCAGTGCTCTTGTAGTGGTCTCGTTATCTACTATTTGCTTAAGAACCCCCAAAAAATAAAAAACTATATATTCCTTATGGGGTAATATAGGGATTATTATTTTTATTTCTTGGGGGGTTCTTAAGCAAATAGTAGTTATCCTGCACCTTCGCGGCATGCATCGAAGCGTCGCGCCCACCAGTCATTTTCTTTCCGGCGCGTGTCAACATGTTGAAACCTGGATTGGAGCTGTGTGCTTTGCGCCGACTCCAATACAGGTTGTTAGTAGCTGGATTGCTTTTACTGTGCCATCTTCGGCCTCGGCAATGTCACCCGCACTGCCGGTTGCTCCTTCGATGACTGAAACTATAGTTTCTCTAGAGTAAGCCTGATGCAGGGGTGGAGCGGAGCGTGGCCCTCGTGCACAGCTGCAGAAAAATTTTGAATTCCAGTGAGAATTTAAAATACCCTCTCACTCATGAACAGGCTTCAGCAATGCAGGCATGAGGCCTTCGAAACAAGAGTCGTTTCAAAGTCCGCAGTAGTGGCGCGCGTCGTGAGTTAGGCTTCGTATCCAGGCAGGTGCGAAGTTCCGAGACGGCCTCATGCGCGCACCTGTACAGCTCGCGTTGGTAGAAATGCACCGGTGTCATGAGTTTCTTGCACATTCAGTCTGGCAACCGATTGTGCTTGCCGATAGCCTGAACTTCCCAGCCTGAGACAGCCAAAGCTCAGTCAAGACTTCGTGCCTCCCGGAAGGGAGGTGGCTTTCCTTGTGCGACAGTGCTGCAAGTCACCTTACTGCAACTGGGCCATGCGGTTTCACAAGGCTTCCGGTGGGTCATCGAATTTCCCAAGACTTCATCTGCATGTCACGCCTGGAGAGTTTGATACTTGTCCAGCATGGTCGAGTGACACCACCTGCCTGACAAGGCCGCCTGTGCTGCGATTTTGCACGAGGTCCCAGAAACAGCTGGAGGACGTCCTATGAAACACCACGGCTTTTTCTGTTCAGACCTTGCACGCTTCCTGTCTCCGAATAGCCAGACCTCGCACAGCTACGGTGCAAAAATCTCAGCACTCCAGGGCTGCAGGGCTTCACTGAGTCATATCCGTCTTTTAAAATCAGGCTACAAGTACTATTTCCATTATCCTTGTTGCAACAATGTGGTGTCACCATTTCGGATGATCCGTCTTAGGGAGGTCAATGTTTCCATTGTAGACTTACCAGACACAGGGACAGAAAGACAAAGACACAGAGACTGCGGCAGACCCGACCGACAGACACACGCAATTGCCGGGAAAGAGGCTTGGGTTCCAGATGCACATGCCGACTTGTCCTCGCAAGCAAAGAAGCACGCCTGATTACATGATAGACGGGCAGGTCATGTGATGGCAAACATGCGCGAGGGTTTGCTTCGGACAGCCACAAGGCACCCTTTTTTGACATCCTCAGGGCTCAAAAGAACCTGCAGATTGAGGCTCGGCCACATCTACCTGGAGAAGTCTGACATGACGAGCGAAGCAAGCTCCCGTGGGTAACTCGGGTTTGGGGTTACAAGCGTCGCCCTCACGAACTGATTTGCTGGCATGATGTCATGTATAACCTTAGACTTGAGGCAGCCTTTACAGGACTATGCTCTATGCTGTTGTTCTCCGTCTAGGGAATTTTGCAGCTTTTGGGCTGCTCAACATGCGAGGTCAGCACTCTCATCCTCGAGGTATAGAGAAACATTAGATAGATGGCCGGTGGACCCGTAGGATATTAGGTTCAAGATGGCCAGGGGCCGTGAAGAGTGATTGTATGCACTCTTACCGGCTGGGCCTCCAAATGCTAAAGAGATTCATCCGTCCCCTCTATCCGCGCAACAAAAAAGAGACGGCCAACAAAGCAACAAAGCATAAGAGGCGCGATTTGCCGATTTGCATTTTAGCAGCCTTGCCGGGTTCTT